CGCAGTCGAGCACATGATCCAATGCACACGAGGTTACTCGGCTACGAGTGCGGCGGACAAGCAAACTACCAACTGAAGCGATCGATAGTATTGGTTCTACAACCCGCTTCCTTGTCGTACTACCGTTCAGCAGCCTGCAGATTGGTATGATGGTCCCGTACTGAGCCATTATGGTAGTTCGTATTGCATAATGCATGAGCTGTGGCGGAATTAGCAACGCGTGCGTGTGCGGTTGGCCTAAGTTGCACGCGCGCACTCAGACTAGTGCTCGTTACGGGTTGGCAAGAAAACACATGCGCTAGGCTGAATCAGCAATGCTCCCATTAACGTAGACCAGGGGGTCCAAATGTTTGCAAGGAGGACCACATTTTGTGAGGTCAAAAATGTCGAGCCATATTCAGTCTGGCATTAAGATAAAAACAAAAATTACACATGAACGAAAAACCTAGGCCTGAATTTATTACTTCATGATTTGGCCTCGCGCCAGTTGAAATGTTAACGCAGGCCACATTTGGCCCGCGGGCCGAACTTTGGACATTCCTGACGTAGACAGAACGACCTGTGTCTGCTCCAATCTGTGACAGCTCCCAGACGTGCCAAACAGCACTGGACAGATTAGTATTAGCTGTCAGCCATTTCGGAGTTTGCTTTGCACCATCGAAGCACAAAGCTTTCTTCCAAGGTTGGCAGGGATCGTCTCCCGCACTGACCTTTGGTGGGGATAAGCTGCAAGCCCTTCAGAAATTCAACTACCTGGGAAGCTGTATCAGCACCAGTGGGATTGAAGACGAGACCACGAACCGTATAGCAAAAGCTCGAGGCTAGCCTTCGCCACTTATGGCGCCGGCGCGACATCACTCTTGCCCTGAAGAGTAGAGTATACAATGCAGCGGTTCGCTCGACTCTACTATACGGCTGCGAAACTTGATCCCTTAGATAAGCGGACATAAAGAGGCTAGTTACCTTCGACAATCCGTGCCTTCGCAGTTTGGCTCACATCTGGTGGGGAACACCGCGTGAGCAACGAACGTGTTTCGACGCCTTGTTTACGGCACAGGAAAAAGAAATGAACCGCTGAGCACCGTTGTTTCACGCACCAGGCTTCCATGGCTCGGCCACCTGTTACTCATGCCAACCAACCGACTTCCGCGATGTGCATTGGTTGCGCACCAGGGGTGTGGATGGAAGAACAGGAGGGGTGGCCAAGCGATGACTTGCTCGAGATGAATGAAGGTGCTTACTTCGAAGCTGGTTGCAATTGGAGCGTCTCGGCTCCCGGGTTGGGATCCGAAAGGCCAGGGACACGTTTGGCTGGCTACACTTGCTGACATAACTAGGAGCCGACCTCAACGGCGTTCGTGCTGTGAGTTTCTTTGTCCCTCCCCATTTGCTTGAGCCTCCCCTCCAACTACGATCTCAGTTCGTGACATAATATATTTTACATAATAATTTTTTGCTTATTAGGCGGATGACAGCTTTCCGGAACGATGCCCATCCGTTACCGGTAGTTCAGCTGGCATGCAACTGTTGCGTTTAGTTTCTTTTATTTCTTTTATGTATTGCGGCACAGTAGCTGAGGTGTTTTACACCTCTAGCCAACGTGTATAAAGATGATGATGATGCATCTGCGCATTGAATGTGCGATGGTTGCGTAGCAATTTCTCACGTTACCGTCTTATTCTGTGATAGGCAACGCTCTCACCATTCAGTCCGCCTCGCCACACTAGCGGCACCAGTTGCCATCGCATCAATTTAGTCCTCCAATCATTGTATGATACATATATTTACACAAGGTCAATCTAAGGTCACAAGTGTCAACGAAGTAAATGTTCCAAGTGCCCACCAGCGTTTTGTATACAGTGCAATATTCGCCTGAAGGTGTTGGCCGACACCTTTTCCAAAGTCTCCACGGTGATCCCGCGACTTCCGTTCAAAATGCTCCGTTTCGGCTCCTCAAGAGAAGTGGGCTAAATTTTCTAAACTCGTCATTTCAAGTAACCCCATAGGAAGGACTCCAACAGGTTCAAATCTGGCAACCGAGCAGGCCACTCCACTGGTCATCCCCGACCGATCCATCGACATGGTAACATATCGTCGAGATAATCACGAACCGTTTGTGTATAGTGTGCGGGTACGCCATCTTGATGCGTCGCTGCAGTATATTTAGCCTACGCCCGACTGGTGGTGATCGCGCAGCAGCGAAGCGTTGTTACGGCGTACAACTGACACATTATTTATTTTACTCCCGCCTTAGAATACCTCCCCTCACTGTATTCCTGTATACTCCAGACCGAGGGCAGTCCCTTTCTGGGGACGTGAACATCACGCTTCCGAGAAGGTAGTTGTTACTTTCGCAATGCATGTGTATTAATCCTCGGGGCCGGTGTACCGAGTTATTCTGTGTCTAAAAACTACGACGGGCCTGTAATAGAACCTTAGAGCTGCAACACAAAATAAATACCTCGTAGACGGCTGGATGCTCTTATCACAACCGCGTAGGAAGAGGTCGATGCAAAGGAGACCGTGACGGAAGCACGCAAGAGGGGAGGAAAGTGTGAACGGACGGAATAAGAGAGCAAGGCTAAGAGAACGTCACTCACTCATTGACCACTTACCTTTTAATGCGTTATCGTGACGCCCGTGGACCGGCTACACATGAACTGCCTTCAGGAACCCCGCACCCGTCGCCGCTGCGACAGCTCCCAACATAAATAAACCGAGCAACCATATGCGGTACCTCTTCGTCAAATTCCAAAGGGATAGCAGTTTGCGGTTGGTTTTGTAAGGCATTTTGCACTGTGGTGATGCAAGTGAGCGCTACGCGGTGTGGCCACTCCAGCAATTTCGTCTGGCGAAATGTGCCTTCTCAAGACATATTGCTAGTAGAATTCAGAGCAATCAGTTGTATTCCAGTCAGCGCCTCAGTACTTGTGCCATGCTGTTTTACACGGAACAATTCGTGCTAGATTCTACTACAGGGCTGAGTAGAAACTGACAGTAACCAGAACCCTAAAGAACTCCACTTTTTGAGTTATCGGTGTTCGACTACTGGCTGTGTCTGCGTTGGATCATGTGAAATGTGCAACTATTTGATGCGAACACCTTTCAGGGCAGGTATATAAGATGAAATCGAGGAATCAAGTAGGCAAAATAGCCTCTTTATTTGGGGGAACAAACTAAGCTAATAGCCTTGCCGTTAGTTTTTTAAACAGCGAACAAAGCAATGATGACGCAGCCAAAACACAGAAAGCAGCACCTATGCGGGAAATGCTAAAGGAACTCGGAATACTGACTCCTGTGCTTAAAAACCCACTAGCTGGCAAATAACAGTACTTTCCAATTTTTATCAAATAAGAAAATCACTCTTCTGTGGATCTATTTTGTCAGTTACTCACCAATTGACAGGAGTGAAGTAAGGTTCAGCAGTTTGATCCATGCTGTGGCAAAGCGTAGAACTATCGATTGTCAAGCGCGGCATCTTTATTTTTTTCCAGTGCTCGCAGATAAACAAATTCTGTGACAGGTTTGTTGCCTAGATGTTAGCATCCAAAGGAATGCAACGTCAAATATCTCCCGGTTTATGCGGACAGGTCCTCCACTTAGCTGTGCTCACGGATGAATAAATTCTCAACTGATAAATTTATCAGCTGCATCTGTCCCATTCTGAAGCTGAGTTGAACTATTCATAGGAAACATGTAAATGTATGCAATTTTGTGCTCTAACTGGACATTTTATACATTGCTTTCCACCAGCAACTGGTTCCCGTTCGTTTGCCCAGGGTACGAGTTGTGTTAATTACGGCCGATCGATACGTGCACCGAGTGTTTGCACATTGTTACACAAAACATAGCACATTGTAGGTAAGCGATTACAGACGGTATATGGTGACACGGAGATGGTTCCGAAGATGGTCGATACACTGGAACAATGGTGTATTACGGGTAAAATGCTCTGCTTAACAAGTCCCATGGAATGGAATTTATTGTGAAAAGAAAATTGTGTGATATAGTGAAAAGCGTTTCGGTGGACTCAGCATGCATTTTCGAGTCTTGCTCCTTGGAATTGAAGGCACTGTTGCGGGTCGAATGGGTTTAGTTTTTGATGCTCTGTTGACAATGTCGCTGAGTCTTTCAACGGACTATGTCCAAATGTTGTCAAGAGGACTGTTGTTTGAGTATCCCCAAGCACATACGTCGACGGGTTCTTTCAGTACGTGGTAAAGTGTGAATGTATGGGTTAGTTCGATGTGTTCAGTTGGATACTCTACGTAACACACATAGTTGAACATTATCACTACATGGTCTCTGAGACTTAACGGACTCTTCATCAACAACTTGTCGGTCATGTACTCTTCATTCGTGAGTACAAGGTCCAGTATGGACGGTTTGTTTACTGTCCTGAACCTAATGGGCTTGGTGACATGATTCTACGAGGGAATATTAACCATAAGTTCGTGCAAGTCTGCTTTGAACTGTTTGTTGGGTGATGCCGATATCTCCAGATTGTTTAGCTTGTAGTCCCCGGAGGTGAGAATGTGGCCGTACCTAGTGCGTGTTATCCTGGTGAGTCAAGAGCAAAAACGGCTGGATTCGCAGTGGTTACCTTTAATCTATCTACTCAGAAAGAACCATAATTTCCGCTACATTTCAAGGACTTTTGGTACCTTGTTAACTTATAAGGTCTATATTGCCTTCCGCACACAGTTCCTAGCGCATTTGTGATTAGCTGGGACGTGACACTAGGTACACAGTGCTACTCACTGAGACCAGACATTACAGTTAAAATGTAACTTTTTAACCTTACCGAATAAACAGTACCGTAGTAATCTGAATGATACACATCTCTGTGTTTCATAGATAATCACTATATGTCGAAATTTCCGTGTTATATTTTATAGTGATCCTTTCCTGATCCATCGAACTAACCTCTATGGTCTTATCAAACTTATGCCTCACCCAACTATATTATCCGCTTACTAGTACTCTGTTCATATTCACAGACCCCCGATGTTGTGTTCTGCCCATCGCTGGATACCACTTCCACAACGGGACTTTACAAACTGATCGAAGGTATGGTGGACGATATATACAAACAGGCCCAGTGTATTCCACGTTTTGCCAGCCCTCTCGGTGGGGATGATTACCAAGTAAGTCGAATGACTGGCCTAGAGGCCGTTCTCGACCTTCAGCTAGAGTGTCATTCTGCTGTTACCACAACCTTTGCTTAACAAACACGTTACCAAATTCGTTTCACAAGTTTCTGCCAAATTCACATCCTACAATCTTGTTCCATCGACAGTGACAGCTGATTTCAGTACATCTGCTTAAGTCATCTCAACTTGTGTATTTAAAGTTGTGTTAAACTTCAACTCGGGTTATCGCACACCGTTCCTTCAATTCAGGCCACACACATCTTGACATGTTATGAGTGAACAATCTTGCCTCTCTACCACTGCTTCCCGGATCCGCAGCACGGACCGTTCTAATTTAAAGCAGCGATATTCAACTTCCTCGGTATGAGGTTCTGAGGCATATTCAAGTCTTTTACCATTGTTGTCCGTGAGGCATCAATCTTGTCGGGTAACGAGGGCACCACTTCAACGACGAATTGTGCTGACCAATAATAGCACGAGGATTTGGTTAGTTCCTCAAACCAACAAATTAAACTGAATACCTCACCTTGGCCTGTGTACATGCTAACTATGCCGCTCTCCCCTGATTGAGGGGGGGTTTTCGTTTTGATTGTCGGATGTAAAACAAGCCAAGGCTTGAGTTTGGTATTGTTGACTTGCTAGAGAAAAATAAATGCAATGCCCCGCCTCATCTTCTAGCAGTACGTGCGCGCATTGTCTTGCCACCTACGCATGAATACAACATTTCTGAACATTTTGCTAAAGCATCCACGACTTCATTGAACGTTAAATGTCTAATGCACCTTCAATGATGAAATGTGCCGTTAGCTTGATACAGTAGCCATAGGATCTCCTTCGGGGATGCTGCTGTTTGATATCTTTATAGCAAACTCAGAACATGATACACTTAGAAAGCGCATTGATGGGACTGAAATGCATGTGCATTACCTTGATGACACCTTCGTACTTGGTGAACTCGAAAAGAATACGTTGCAGTTATTGAAGACGCTTAATGTCGCGCATGAGATTCTCCACTACACCTGCGAATATGCGTTTGGAAAACGGCTACCTTTTCTGGATGAGGACGTTGTCTGTAGCTCAGACAGATCTTGTATCAGAAAGGTAGACAGAAAACATACATATGCTGGGTAGTTCACGAACTTCTACAATGCAATACCTTTACAGCATAAGAGGATTTTACTACGGTCTCACGTCTTCATTGCGCGCGGTATTTGCACATTGGATATCTTTAATGAAGAGCTACGGAGAGTCAGCTACTCCCTTGGAGATGGTTGAGACGACGAATTTATCGTGAGGCATCTAGAAGAACGCAAACGGAAGCCGCCTAGGAGTAGTTCTTCCAAGAATGTTTATACGCCAACTATTTAAATGCGATTCAGCTGCTGACCGTCTATCCCGATGACTAAAAGAGGCTGTTGAGCAAACTTATTTCACAAGTCACTTGAGAACTATTTACCACAATAAGCCATTACTTACTAAACGTTAGAAAGATAGACTGTCTTCGTTGACTGGTTCAATGCTAGTTTATCGGTACCCTTGCTCCTGCGGTGTACGATACGTTGGTCGCACTATGAGGTACCCACCACAAGGGATTGATGATCACATCTCGGCGCTGTTTTACAAAGGTAAATGAGGTACTTAAACAGCTCTGTTATGTCACCGCTCCTTGATCATGATCATACTGCTTCAGATAATGACTTCCAAGTCAACTATTGACTATCCGAACGCTTCTCGCAAGGCTTACGCAAGTAGCTTCCGTTCATTTCCGAGACTGTACTCATCCACCATGTGGAGCCGGAATTGTTCGTGCAGAAGCGATTCATAGAGCCGATACTTCTACTTTGGCCAACACACACTGTTACTTAACCGTTTGATTGTAACCTGAGCTAGTTACTCTGAAAGGGTGCGTTGTATGTGTCTAGACTTTGTTAGCTTGATTTATCATTTATGGCCCAGTCTTAAGTTGTCGATTTGACTGTTCAAACAAATTAGTGGTCAGTCCTCAGTCTTATTTGTTGCATACAACGCATTACCACTGATGAGAGTTTGCCCAAAAAGAATTCTTAACCCAGCACTAATTTCGGATTATGATTTTTTTGTTTTACTGGACCGGGACTATTTACTTTGCTGAAAAACAACATTCCTCACGGTTTGCTTAAGCTTCCAGTTTGAAGTTCACACGTCGCACTCTGCGTTTAATGTGAAATTTTGCATGACCCCGGTGGACTGCTTTCCCCTGGTTATCTAACCACCAGTTTGAAGTGCATCTGATGTTGAGCTAACAATCTGGTAAGGTGGAGTATGACTCAAGTTACTGGCAACTGCAAGAAAGCTGTTTCGCCGATGCTGTTTAGCTTCAGACGACAGTATGATGCAGCGTTCGTGGTAATTCCTTGGATTCTAACCACCAGGCCGTTTGTGTTACACATGGACCCTGTTCCCTATCTCCGGATATGCAAACAAATGAACAGGCACACATGGCATGACATATAGGTACCCTTGGTACTCACCGAGAAAGCATCCTTCACCCACACCCGACAGCAGAACTAAGCTTTAACATTGTACCCGCTTAGTTTCGTTGCGTTCTGATGCAGTAAGACACCAGCTTATTCAAAATCCCCCAGAATGAAGCAGCAGATCATAAAACGGGGTGATCAAAAGTTGATAATTTTAGTGAAAGATCTGCTTAAAATTTGAACGTCTTTCGGTCTCCAACCTGTGCCGAATGTGTCAATCATGCAACTGTACTCTGTAATACCAACCAACTCTGCTCAAGGATGTTCATTCACATTCACCGACGTAACTGATACCGTACAGTCCTGATTCGGTTATGTAACTTTACTACTATCTTTTTTCAAGTAGGACATCTTTTATTCACATTTTTAACCACGACGATTGGACAGATTACTACCGTTGAGCACATTCAGCATCTGAATTAAATTTACTGTCTATTTTACATGTTCCTCTGTATCATATAACCTTTCATTATTCACTGACACCAATGTGCAAAGCTCAGACATCCGAACACTGCTTTAATGCACCACTTGTGACGGCCTCGAATGAGCGCGGACTGTCCAAACGAGCCACGTAGCTATATCTGTACCTAAATTACGAGTCGGTTCACGGTTGCTTCAGTACCATGTATTCTGCCCACCGTCCTTCATTTTCACAGCCCAGACCGTGCTTTTAGATAGGTTTCGTCAGCTCGTGTTTAAACGGCCATTTCCTCAGTATCACAAGTTGTATGGTTCTGACTCGCTCTCAGATAGATGAACCTGGCATGCATTCGTTGTCACCGAGTTCGTAGCATGCAGGCGCTAAGATGTATGTCCACCGCTGCTCAACTGTCTGCGGGACTGCTTAGAATTACAGAACTAGGAACTCGGTTGGAAGCATTTACTCCTAAGGATGCAGTAAAGGTACCTTCAGGAGCCACTAACCGATGGTCGATCTAAAAGTGTCCTTCAGGAGACACCAGAGTTTTCGACGCCTGCTGGTTTTGGTGAAGACTACATTGCAAGAGGTGATACGCAACATGGTGTGGTGCTCGGGGATACATGCTTACCGACGGCGAGGTTTCACCGGGATTGAATGCTGCCAGACGTATTTCCTGGAAACGCCTCGGATGCACTGGAAGCTCTCGCTGGCTTGCCGAAGAGGGAAATTGGCCGATGCAGTACTGGCCATTTATGAGCAGTTTTCAAGCAAATGTCATGTGTATTACCCGTAATCCTGGGATCAGAATGTCCTACCTGATCAATTATTGTGAAGGCCAGGCTGGGGAGGCGATCGCGAGTTGCGTCATATTGGAAGCAGAAGGTTTCCCTGAAACCATGGAGACGCTAAAATCTACTTTCGGCCATCTTCATCTTATAGCCAAGGCTTACATCGGCAACTTAGTCAAGGGACCATCAATCAAGGCGAATAATTCTGAAGCGCTGCATAAATTGGCTGGGCAGATGAAAACTTGCTTGACTAAGTTACAACAGTTGAACTACGAGGCCGACCTGAAGGCGACTGTGACGGTGGCTTCGGTGATCAGACGGTTGCCCTATGCTCTGCAGCTCGATTGGTCCAAGAAAGCTACCAGCATCCTGCGCAATTACGGAGAACCAGTCTTCAGAGTCCTGTACCAATTTGTCTGTGATGCCGCAGAAAGCGCGGTAACGCAGGCCATGTAGTTGAATGAAAGCGCTAAAGCCCTTAAGGGTTATATACGGCAGAAACACTCCAAAATCATGGTAATCATATAACCGCTTTACTAACTGGAGAAATAGTACCGCAAACTCGGAGACTCGCACCAACGTAACGTGCACAAGACATGATTGCATCGATCAACCTCCTCGATTCCAAACTATGGACAGTACTGAGCGCTTGCTCGTCGTTTCTGGGAAAGCTTTATGCGAATGGTGCCTCAAAGCCAAGCAAACGTCTGCAAATTCCGGATCCCGATACACTGGCGGACTCAGCGGTTACCAGCTGAAACAGCACGCTTTGTTACACAATGCTAAGTTGAAGCAACTGACCTCACTAAGGGCAGTGGTCAACGAAACGACTGCAGCTCCTGGCCTAGTGGCTTTAGAATTATTCCGCTTGTATTGCGTGGGATGAACAAGGCATTGGTGACCAACGCTTTACTTGACCCCGGATCCGATTCATCGCTTGTTGACGAACAGTTACTAGGGGAACTTAATTTGTCAACTAGGCTGTCAGTTGTGCAGTTAGCAAAGGTTGCCGCTGACTCATGGGTGTGCTCGTAGGTGGTACGACTACAGCTGCAACGCTTGGATGGAGGTAAACCTCTGTACTTACATCAGGCGTGGTCCGACCAAAGGATGTCTAATGTCCGAAGGATAATACCGGAACCAAAACAATCACATAATTAGAAATTCGTCACATCTAGACTCACTCAAACAGCCGTCACACACCCTCGAAAGGCACTATATGCGTGTTTCATTCTTTCGGGAATCGTCAGCAGTGCGCATTCCATCGGACCCTGGTATGGTTCCAACCCGCTTGTAAGTCAGTGGATAGTGAACGGCACAATATCACATCTAGTAACTAATTCACAATCATCGTTACCGTCCCCCGTAGTTCAGTGGTCTTAAACACGGACTGGCGACGGTCGAGTTGCGGGCTCGAGCCCTACCAGGGTCCGATGGAATGCGCACTGCTGTCGATTCCCGAAAGGATGAAAGGCGCGTACAGTACTTTCCCGGGCGTGTGACGGCTATCTGAGTGAGTCTAGATGTGACGAATTTCTACCTATGCCATTCAACTCCCCACCCACAACTCATCTGTAATCAGTACGCAGACCAAACTGTTTATAATGCCATAAATTAATTGGCGGCTTAAGTTTGGTAAGCTCGCCACTTGGGGTGGGGACTACACTGTCCTCTGCATGGCAGTAACGTGTAAGTCACAGTGTGTGCTGCGTGAACGTGAAACACACATGTAAGATAGTAGGCCATGCTCAGATAGATGACCTTCGGGTCGCTCAGAGAATCATGTAACAATGTTACGACCTCATGGAGGCAGTGACAGTAGGCCAGGTGCATGAGCATCTGTTACAATCGACACAAATTAATATTTCGATGTACTCATGAGTTCTCATGTACTCATATGAGTTCACATATCATCAGTGGGATAGAATGAGGGCACAACTAGGCGGAGAACCACTGGATGAAGATGTGGGCGTATGGAGCGTTGAACAGTTAGCAATGCAAGCACACGGAGCGGGATAAGATAGGGTGGTCACACTATCCGGATGTTTTAGGGTATGATTCATTCTACGAGCGCTCCTCGAAGCTACAAAGCAAGTTCATTCAGTGAACTGTAAAGTACTGTCCAAACGATAACCGTGCATACGTCTCAGAGGGATTTTCTACGCAATGCAGTTGTCTGCTACACCTTCTATAAAACATTAATGCACCGCCAATGCAAGGGAGGCTTATCGTTGTAGCTGTTGTAGATCCGGTGTTCCGTGTGCACGAAGGATGTTGGCTTCAGGTTATCCACGCCGAAGCCTAGGTCCGAACTAGTTCACAGACCCGTGCGTGAGGTGTGCACAGAGCTACAGGTGTGTGTATGATACTATAAAAGGTGTTTTTAGCTTGTGTTGTGCTCATATTTTGTATGCTTTGATCTTCGATGTTTGAATTATTTTCACAGGTGCAAATCACGACAATTCATTTGTGTCGGGTTAAACGAAGAAAAAGGTACTTGTAGTGCTGCAACTCGCTTTGGCTGTAATGTATCAGTAATACCAAATGTTGTAAACTTTCCTTTAGTGGCGAAAACCAAGGAACGGAGAAGTACAACATAGCTCTTTCACACAGCGCTTTCATGCAAATTGCCCAACCAGTGTCATTACTAACAATACTGTTCCACTCCAGGTAAACCATAATCGGTAACTGTAATCCAATCAGCGGAGCACGGCGGGGCCAATAGACCAGGCCGTTCAGTTTGCTGAGATCAACTCCCTCGTATGTCTATAAGATATGCCCGATCCATACGATATACTACTCCCATCATGTCAGAAGTCATGGTGTTGTAGCATTCGGGGAATGCAGGCTAATTGCTTGTCTGGGTTTGTCGATGTGTGCATAAAAGCGGGAATATCGTAAGGATCGATGAGAAACACTTGCCATGGTTACTTCGAGATCGGTGCCTTCCCAAATGGATTACTGCATTCCATGATTAAGAAGAGACAGTAATCTGTCAAAATGACGTGCGGTGATTAAAAAAATAAATAAATAACCCATTGGATCCTCGTGACGGCAGCGGACAATACATAGGAATAAGTGCTGGGACTAACTCAATTTATCGAAATTATGCAACCCCAGAAAGCCAACTGGCATCGGACTATGTACTGTATTACGTGTATACACCCAATTAAGCAAGATATGGATTGCCTGGGCTGAGTGTATGTCCTCTCAAGGCTGGAGAACGGTGCGTGTGGAGCCTAAGACTGTGAGCTTACTTTAGTGTTGTGTCGCCGCTGACGCCTTCACCCCACGACCGCAAGAGGAAGTCCAAAGGCGAGCCAGAAAGAGACTTGTATACATGAAATCACAGTTGCTTATATAGTTTGAAGGCAAAATGAAGGGAAGCTACTGAAGTACACTTGAGCCAACCAACTGAAGGAAAAACGTCAAATGCAACGGCGAATAAGCAACCGTGTACTCACGAGCGAATCGCGTCTGTCCTTAAAAATATCATCATTGGACTCCAAGCGTAAAGCGAACGTCCATTTACAGTGACGGGCACTGGCCAATCAGAATGACGAAATGAAACGTTTAAACAAAAGTCACGAAACAAACGAGAATAAGGAATGCAGACCCAAAAGTTGAAAACTAGTGCAATAATTGTGTGACAACTAAATATTCCTTTAACATAACCAAGTAGAACAGTGATGAGAAGAAAAAACCAATAGAATATGTTCTTGCAAATGGCGCTGCTGAGAAGGACATGACGATGAGCGTCCATTAACAATGACGTGGATGTACCAATCGGGCTAACCCAGTAGAGCGTTTAAACAACAGTCAAGAAATAGAAAATAGGAAGAGTACAGAATAGCTATCAAGCTCGTTCACAATAAATGAATGTCTAATAGCTGTTCTCCGCATATCTAATAACAATTAATCCTCCTGAATTGCCTACAATTTCATTGGCTTAGTGGTCCAGGAGCCACTGTTCAGTGACCTCAACGTAGACGTGTCGTTAGGGTCCAGGAAGAGTACCTATTCATCTTCAGCTGTACCCTCAATGAGAGGACATTAAAAATCAAGGGTAGCGTTAACATGACTGGTTACATGGACGAGATAACTTGTTGTTGGCAAAATTCTGGTCCTACAACAACACGTTAGATAAGGAATGGCTAATGAATTATTGGCCCGTGTGTTGGCATAATTGGGTTTGTACTTACTTCTGTGATAGGCATCAACAGTACGCCGGTACGCCGTTCCGGTTCCTCGCAGCTGCGCAACCACTGCCAGTCGCATGTGGGTTGAGGATACTGCGAGAGTCGCCTGGTTTCGAACACGCAACCTCAGGAGTACAAGGCAGGCTTGTGATCAGTGAGGCTACGGGCCGGATGCCCACTCACTTTTCCGCCTGTGAGCGAGTCCTTATCCGGATCAAAAACTAGCCCCCTCCCCTCAAGTAGTCCGATAACACCCACACGTACTGTCGCAGCCACTAACGCCCTAGTTCGAATTCTATTGACCTGGTGTCCGTCTAACACTAGCTACACTGTCTTGAGGCAGAGCGGGCGTGTCCGTATCTGCAGTGTCCACGTAACCAGCCTTCGAGACTTAGTTCCGGTGCCCTGACTTGCATAAAAGCTGGTACGTAGACTGCAAGGGGTTGGCGCTATGTCCATCCTACTCAATGACCCACGATGTGTGGCTAGTCAAAAGGAAGCCAATGGATCGCGCGTAGACTCGTGCTTCTGGCCTACTATGAGCCAAGCAAATGGGTTGGAAACACTATTAAAAGGTTGACCTTGTGTCAGCCATGCACACTGTACTGACCTCGTGGCGTGCGCCAATTTACGTGTGATGCCGTCGTCTCAGCCAAGGTCACCGGTGGTTTCACCAGTGTCGCCACTCGCAGTGTGCAGTCAGTTGTTACCTCGCCCCCGCAATTCGCACATCAATGAACGGACATATCACGGAATTCTGCAAGGTGATTGGCCCACGTCACCTATCAAGCGCACATGGAAGCCAGCTCTGTTCGCCTGTGGGCTTCAATCGTTTCAGCGCGGTGTTTCGTGTGCTTTCGACCACTTGTAGTCTAAGGATGATGGGGCCGATTCCTGTGCCGAAAAAACGCTTCCACCCCATGGCCCACAATGGATCTGTATGCTAGATGCCCATTTTTTGAGCTCTAACAGGTGGTTGGCTGAGAATCTGGTCATGATGAGCAACGTCACCCTGTGCTCGTACTGAGTAGCGCACATGCATCCGGTGTCCGGTCGAAGTGTCAAGCCTCATAGAGAACCTCAAGGGCCTGCACACGTGCACGTACCACAAACTGTCATCGGGCTCAATGTGAAGTTGCCGTCTTGCTTGAAGTCAATGGGATTGGAGTATGAGGTAACTTGAATATAGCATATGGGATTTGATTTGGTCAGACGGGTGTGCAAACGCAAAAGGGTACTCTAGGTGCAGAATATATGTGGCGCAAAGTTCGGATGGCCTAACGGGAAAAGTTGAGTGGCAGTCGTGAAATTCATCAGAACAAGACTGTGCTTCTGGGTTTTTTGTGCCGACTATTCCTGAACTTCTTTGAGCCCATTTAAGTTCTACAAGCTATGTTAAACCCTGTACTTTTACTTTAGGACAAAAGTATACGTTTCTCTTGTCATCAATTGAAGGTTGGTGCCATTTGTTTTCACACAATTTTAGGGAAAAGTGAGCGCAAATGAAAATTTAGGCAAATTGCAACAGAAACTATTTGATCGTATCCATCAAGCAATAAAGGAGGCGGTTGCCTACCAAGCTGGCTTCGATGTATATTCCTACTTGTGGATGGAAGATCGTAACGAATGTATGCAACAATTTCTCACCTATGGCCAACTGCTCAGTCCAGAAGATTTAGACCTTTTGGCTTCCGCTGCCACCCACCCCAAGGGCTCTGGTGAGAGTGGTGAAGATCCCACTCTGACTGGCCTGACTCCAAAGCCACCCACCCTGGAGCAATTCAAAGAACAGATCGACCATTATGAGAAGATTTACAGTGAGGTTAGTTTCTTCTCGGTGCATTGCTTTAAACCCCTGATCTTGTCGTAAGCTTGGACGATCTATTTTAAACCCAGATTTTACAACTACCAACCAAGAAAACCAGCTTTGTTACTAAACCGACGATAGGTGATCTTATCTTTACCCCTCCGGTAGTTTACTTAGATTCACCCTTGCAAATTTTTTAAGCATACCGTGCAAGTTTTCCTCCATAGGACTAATATCCTATGGATACCAACAGGAAACATTCCCTTCAAATTGGCTAGGTGATCCTCTCGAAGTTACAAAGTACTGTTTAAATGACCATCAAGAGTAGCCCTGATCAACCTCTGCATTTAATTCTACCCTACACACTAAATGCAGCTACCGTCTGCATCCTTGACCTCCGATTTTATTTTATTTTTAGGTCGATGAATTAGCCACCACAGTTAAATTCGGCGCTTGGTTGCGTGTGGATTCGCGAAAATTCAAACGTGCATTGCTCAATGTCATCAAACGATGGAGCATGATGTTCAAGCAGCATCTGATCGATCATGTGATAACCAGTTTGCAGAATCTTGATGAATTTATCCGAGTGAGTGAAGCCCATGCATTCTTCGTATCTTTCAGATCTAATGTTGTTGCAGGGCCTCGTTCTGAAGAATGATCAGTGGATGATTAGAGGGTCATTTGAATTACTCGTTATGCGATTGGATTGAGACGCAAAATCTCGATGGGGACCGTGATTTGCACTGATACGAAGCTTTGCCAATTCGATCACTAAGACAATGGCTGAAGCGTAGGGAACTTGGGTCTTACCCCCCCCCCCCGAAAACACTGCACGCTACTACATGTTTAAATCTTGTTTGCTCTCATCAGTTAGAGCTAGTATGCCTCGAACACGGAATGTTAGTTGGAAGCTTTACCACTTCAGCCACCAGGTCACGACGCTCAACTACCAAGTTCTATACACTTCAGCTACCGTTTTAGTAATCGAATTGGTCATTGATTGCTTCAGTGCGAATCACGGTCCACATTGTGATTTGCATCGCAATCCAATCACTACGCTGCCCCTTTTGGATCTCATAACTCCTCGGATGCAAGTTTTATCCGTTTACAATAGTCCACACTATATTCTTCAAACTTAATCACCTGCTCCTGTCTAGAACGCGTCTAACGACCTTTCTATGCAAGTCTCCTATGATCAGAACCATCTCCACATCAGAAATTCACACGGCTGCAGTAGTGCATGGTGTAAAATGCGATTAGCTAGTAGTAAATTGTCCAGTTAGATTTGCAATATTCCAGACTGTTGTTTAGCTGCTTCTTGTTTAAATGTCGCAACCGCACCCTCGGTCAGAACATTAGAAGGGTGGTGTTATGGTGCCGATAGAATGTGCTCGATTCCATGTTGGCGCTGACGAATACCGAGACATTATTTGTGACCACTACATATGGTACACCATGCTTAGATGTACACGGTGGTCGACGCATTTGCGAATGTGGTTGTCCGAGTTTCCATCCATTTGTGATGTGAATCCATTACAACAAGCACTAAGGGGTCGTCGAAAGTCCACGGAAGTTAGTTTGTATCCTTTCGCACGGCCGATGAGGCCGTTGACATGGTGACATTGATACGGACGGTGGGGATGATTTATTCTCTTGGCAGTTAGCACATAATTATACGCTTTGTTTTATCTCCTGATCGCCAGCGGGCCACCTAGTATGGTTGTGTGCTAATGCATTTCTTTGGTGACTCAGATTGAGTTCATGTAGAGTTTGGTGATGCAGTTTGGGGACGATTATTTGACATCCCCAAAATATATAGCCATCCTCGAGGCTCAAGTCAGCTCTCCGACTGAAATGCTCTTGGACCCTCGTCTGATTTATCTGGTCAACCAGTTAGGATACACTCCCGCACTTACTGCAGTTTAGGGTCACTCCGAATTCTGACTGTCTCCGTTGCTGTCACTGGTGAGTCATGCAACCAAGAGATCACCAAGCGTTCACCAGTTCTCTCAAAACTGGCGTGTAGCTTGGAACTGTCGGTAACAGAAGTCGGCTGAGAGGGCCGTCACATTAGTTGGTGAACGTGTTACTGTATACTCATTAGATGACCGCACATCATTAGCTTGAATCAGTACTTTCGGAGACTTCTCTATCAAAAACATGTTTCTGCCACAAGCAAGCTCGGGATGAAAAGAAGTAGGTCGCCAGCTGTGCGCCGTAACTGCGCTTCGCTATCACGCGACAACCACCAGTCGCGCGCGAGGACGCCCGCCCCTACGTGGAATCGAACCGGTGAGATTTTTCGGATTTTTTATTGAGGGAGGGAAGGAGAATCACCGCAACAAACAGAGATAGACGACCGCCACTGAGTTCGGTTTCAAGTCATGACTTCCAAGGTTTTTAACCAACGGCACTCAGCATCCTTGGGACCCCATCCAGGGAGTCGGGAGGAAGCGACCGAAGCCAGCTGTTTTGTCAGCTTTTTCGTCCTGGTTCTCCAAATTGTAGGCTGTCCACCACACCGCCTCCTCCAGCCCTTCCTAGCGACTATGAACAGGGCACGACAGAGAAGAGGCTGAATGGGCATACGCAGTAGGTGTCCGAGCCATTGTAGTTTGCGTAGCGAGACAAGCGCCTCGAGGGAAGGGCTGCTTCCACCCAAGACGCGCTGTCTGACTTCAACGTTGGTTACGTGGTGCAGCCACCACACACGTGCGATGGGCCGCAAGCAAAGCTTCTCGAAGACAGACAGTCGGCGCAAGTCATCGGTACGAGCAGACCAAGTCTCGCAACCGTATAACAGTACAGCGGGAACGGTCGCACTATAAACCTGCCCTTTGATGGAGAGGCGGATGTCTTGGCGGCGCCATAAATGCCTTAGCCTGGAAAAGGAGTGAAGAGCCTGGGTAGGAGATCGTTGTGATCTACTCGAATTTTTCCGAAACATTCGACTGTCTGGATCTACTTTTCCAAGCCCCAGTATTACGGATTCGGTGATGTTCTCTTGAGTTGGGTCACTACCTCCTTCATCGACAAATAGCGATTAGAGTTTATAACTCTTTATCCGACATTATATATGTCAGATGTCGTATGCCCAAAGGTCAGTGCTATGGCCAACTTCGTTTTTGCAATTAATTAATCATCTCTCGCAAATCGTCCGTTCAAATTCCTTACTTTTGCTTATCATTCCACCACACTCACCGTTTCATCCATATACTGTCTTAACTATCCTCAAGTAGGCCTTTGGAATGCGTAATCACCAAAACTTGCAGATGCTGGAATTACTCAGAGCGTTCAGTGGACGATACTTTCGATTACAAAGACACCTGGCAATCGCTTACCCGACCCTGTACAATCCGGCTCATGCGTGCCGCTTTTACTGCTGTTGATCACTAACACCAAAATGAGCCTAGCCAGAAACCGTCGAAACCGCACAACCATCTTGAATCCTCCTGAAAATTTATTTTTGGTTTATTTACGCTGTCTCCAGAATACGCTCCCCGTACTAGTCGTTTCCCCACCGACATTGACCATATTTAAGTGACGATTGAATTCTACACTCAGCCATCTGCATTTTATTACTTGGTGTTTTCGTGCTGTCCCATTTCTAGGACAATAGCCTTCGGTTTAACAACTGTCAACTAAATATGCTGTCATACATTGCTGAGAACATCACAATCTCGTACAAACTAGTGGTTTCTTACCAGCAAAAGTACAAACTGTCTTCTGTTGTCACGTCTATGGGAACTCTCACCAGGCAACCCAGCGTGACTCGTAAGCAATTACTTAATAACTTTAGCTAATTGTTGTTCATCCGTGTGCATGATAATGCCGCAGGTGAGTGTTTGATCCACAGTCAATGTGAAATTTACCGGTGTGATCAGCTAAGCTATTGGAAGGTGGCACAGATGGAATATTGAACTCACTGCAATAGAATAAACTTCAGCTCTCCCGATTTACTCTGTATGAGATCTAGGTTTGCTGAGTGCGAACTCAAAGCTCTATCTCCTCGAACGTCGAAGTTAATCGCTAAGTGATGAACAAAATACCGGTTCATATGCCTTCTTTGAAAGACCTGATGTGATTGGCCACTTCCATAATGTAAGCAAACGCACTAAGCACGCCGCATAGCCGACTTGAACTCACACTTTTAGTATTGGGTTTCTGGTTAAGTAGGTTGTACTAATGGAACCTTAATTCTACATTCGCAGTGATATAGTGGACTCAACAATAGGCGATGCGACTAGCTTGCCGCAGGCATGCTTCAAATGGTCTAAAGATTGGTGAATGCCGTGCATAAAAATAAAGAAAAGGTAAGCATAAGTAAAATATACATAGAAACGCTTAGTGGTGGCAGGGTTGAATGCAGGTTGAGATGACAACTGGAATTGCCTATCTTGGTCACAAAATTAAAAATCATTATACACTACTGCTGAATTGTCAGTAGCGTCAATGGTGAACTATTTGCTCTTTAGCCATAGACCTACTAATTCCGTAGCAAATCTCTGAACCAATCACACTTCTTTTGTATTTTAACCTTATGTAATAATGTATATTCCTGGGTTTACGAAGCATGCCCTTTAGGACCTGATCAAAAATTTAAATTAATTCATATAATATTTGCAGCATGTTCCAAATGTCAGGCAGCAATGAAAATCGTGTTTTTAACCTCCATGGATGCCCAGTACCAAGTCTTGAATAGGTACAGAATAATTCGTGGCGTCCTGAAGATCTCCGTGTAGGGATGGAACCAAGTTTTCCTTTCTTTGGGTAAATGATATGGAGTAATTGTTTGATGATAAGAGAAACATTAAAGCTGGACCCATACGTATAGAACATGTCATCTAATTTAGGCTAAAAGCTTTCTATAGATTGCCGCGTTCTTTTTCCTTGGTGGTAGCGGTTGATGGTATCTCTGACCTGAGCTTATCTTCAATCATCTACCTGCCACGCTTAAACTCTGGCACTCAACGTTTAACTATAGCATTTGAAGAGGCATTGTCATGCAATGTACTGAGCATATCTTGGTGAATTTCAGATGGTGACATTCCTTTGAGATCACTGCAACATGCTCTCATTTGCCCATTTTCACAAATAGTAGACCAAGTCCACTACAAAAATGGACATACGCTACTATACACGGAAAAGAACCGTATAGATTTGTATCTGCCCGTAAATGAATCATTGAAAACAATTGGTTGCCTCTGACTGGTGTACTTGGAGAATCATTATGCTCGCGAATTTCGAAATCACATGCGGATGGAAATCAGACTGCTGCGATCATATGGTGGTGTCAACCACTTCCTCGTGTGCGATCTGTCCCCGTATGCATTAGCCTGTTATTTTCTACCACAAGCGTTGTTTACTTTTGTTGTACCCAGTCTTGTTCTGGTGTTTTCATCCTGCCACCAGGGCATCTTCTCTAAAGAGCTCTAACGTGTCATATTCCATTATATTTTCACAACTCAGGTGACAAATAAAAACCTGGGCGTTCCACTGAAGGAGGGCGATTATGACAGTCTGGTACACGTGATGGAGCACCTAAGCAATGTGAGGGAACGCCAAACGGCAACCGATGAGCTTTTCGAACCTCTAAAGCAAACGATTGAATTGTTGAAGACATACAAACAAGAACTACCCGACGAAGTACATAAGCTTCTTGAGGTAAGCCCCAACTTGTCTGTCACCATTGACGCGATGGTTGAAATGCTAGATAAAGATGAGCCATTGGTCAACTGATAGGTGTCAAAGTATTCCTCACAGTCAGATTGGTTATACTGTTTTACAAACTACTACTCAGTTGGGTTTTACAGAAACCGATCGTGACCATATGTCAGAAAATAATAAATAACGGTATTTCCCAAGGCAAGGTGGGATGCGGAACGTTGCCCTGCCTCCATGCTAGTGACATTCTAATGAACAGCCTACAATAACCGTTTTGAGGTTTCTTTATATCCCTACACAACACCTGCATAGCTGTAACGAGGCATATGAGAGCCATTGCAATTTTGGTTTATGGGGCTATTACTTGTTTATATAAGCACCACAAACATTGCACCAAATTTCCGTCTTGCCTTTAATCCTCCACCTCACTATCTTGATCGGTATCTCAGTCGCAGTGTGTGTGTGTGTGTGTGTGCTTAAAATCGACTCCTCAGTGATGGCAAGGCATACAACAGGGGAAACTCAGCACGAAAAGCAACGTGGGTGTAGGGTGGCAAGACAACAACAAAAACATCTCACGCCATTAATTACTTTGCATAGATATTTATAAGGCACGCGCTATAAGCTTGTCCGGATTTTCTGGGTTTTCAAACTCGATTTTTACCGCTGTTGCGAGAATATTGTGGAGAATGCGTTAACACTATACTGAACAACCGACTATAACACAAAGCCGGGAGATGTACGAGCGCATGGGACCGAAAAAACCAATGACCGACCTAAGTGATAGTAGCTTATAAATAGCAAGAAGCACTAGGTGAATGATAGATAGGAGCGTCCACTGAGATTCGACGATCGTACGCATAACTAAGTAGCATGGGACAACAGAAGCAATGAGAGATGGTGGTGATTTTGGGGAGTCCTATGCGGCCTCACACCAAGCAGGCGCATTGCTGCGTGCCCCTCGAGCTGTGGCACCACAGAACAAGTAAAGCTTCTCATGGATGACCGATACACAATAATATCTATAAGACACCAAACAAAGTATCCTGTGCTTCTTCACATGTAGCACATGCCACTGACGATGCGTAGTTCTTTAATCTCATTCTCTAAAAACGAATGGTACGATACGAGGAGAAACGTGATGGTACTGGTGCTGGCCTGCCCCTCAGAGTCAAGCGTCTTTCTCAACCTACGGCAACCACGCAGAGCGGATCATCCAAGTCCCTAGATTATGCACCGATCACCTTCAATGTGGGCTTCTCCCGACAGCATCGGACATAACACAGAAACAACGTAGCATAGGGTACCATGACAACAAAAAGCCGTTAGCGGCACACAGCCATGCAGCTATAGGCATTTGTAAGTAGCATTCTAACCCTGGCGCCTATTTTACAACCTCTCCGTCTCGGTTAAGGTACACGAGCTAGAGAGCTTTTGGACCGTTCAACTATACCAGCTTCTTGCAATTGCTCGACGAGTATGCAAGGCGTCCTTATGGATTACACCATCTAGGCGCGCTAGCTCTGGCAACCTTGGCAAAGCCATGATCTCGATGTGCTGTGGCATCTACAACAGAGAGGACCCACAATTGTCAGCGGTTCACACCATCTCCCTTACCAACTTAGATAGGCGGATCATGTCGGAATCTGCCGGGTTTTAATAACATATAAGTTTTTCAAGGACCGTTATGATGCAAAAGCTGCCTAATGAAACCCAGTCAAGACAACTTCCTGCGATGCCAGCGGCTCAAGTGAAGTCAAAGTAAGTCAAGTCTACACTTTTAGGCACCCCGAAAGGGTGAGTTTCTAGCTGTGTCACACAAACGCCATCAAAATCATAAAATAGAGTATGGAGGCAAAACAGCAGTAAGTGCATAGTTTCATGGATATCACGACTTTCCTGATAAAAGTAACAAGTTAGTACTTTGCTCATGGCATTCATCTCCAGTGAAATTCTAAGTATTTTTGGAATGACCGACACATTGCTCCAGACTTTGGTCTGGTCGATGAAGTAATTATTCAATCACGTTCACCATGCAGATGACGGCTGATCTCGGTGAGTATTTCTGGAGCAATTTCTGTGCAGGAATTAACAAAGTAGCTGCAACACTTATACCCAAGTTTGGCTCTGAGATGCCACTGTAGTGACCTATCAGTTAGCTTGAAATGTTTAACCAACAAGCCTGGAAAAATCACAGTTGAGCTCAATGTGTCTAGTGTGGCAGAATACACTCAGTGGCGAACCTCACGATCAAATTGTGTGGTGCGGAGGAAGATCGCAATCGATAGAATTAACACGAAAGCCGCCTGACTCTGATTATTATTTTATTTATGCGAAGAAATCACGATAAATCGTGGCTCAGTATGACTCCAAGTTACTTCACTGACATAGGGAAGCTCATGACCTCACCAAAAAATGAAAGTGCGGATAGTCTGGGACAAGATGTTGGATGCTATCTGCTTTATGCAACACTTAGGTGCATTCAGCATCAAGCAGCGGACTTTTGACTATTGTGCGAGTTTACCTAAACAACGTTATACCTTGGTCGAGAAGGCTGAGATGAGATGATTCGCTCTGACGCTTACGCCGTCAGTATACTGTGACGAGATGGCTTATCGGACTTATTTGTGGTACCAAAGTAGGTAGAAAATAAGAATGATGACAGATTAGCTCCCTTAAGGACACCGTAAGTTGCGAAAAGTGGGGAGAATGTTCTACCGCCAAGCGTTAGATTTGTCCACATCGTGCGTCCTGGTGAAACGCAACCGAGGATTTTTCTCTCTTCATGCGTCCCAGTCTTGGAATGCTCCATGACTTCCCGTTGCGTTCGCTCCCACTTTATCCAGATCCGAATCTATTAGATGCTAGTACACCATCAATAACTTTACGACACAACATTTTACCCGCAGTAAATTGACGGTTCCTTACCGCCGCATTCTATCTGGGCGCTCGCTTCGCCCGGTGTGTCCATTTCATTTCTCCGCACACATTCTTATGCCTATGCTCTTATGAACCAGTCCGACGAGCACTAGGCAGTGCTTCTCATCTCTTGTGTGGAGCATACGGTTGCTCTAGTTCACCTTCCTGGCATATTCTTCGCCGAGATCTACGCGTGCAGTTACATCACTAGTGAGCGGTTGGGGCAGAGTTTTGGTCTCCTTAGGAAGAAAAGATTAAGGACTCTCAAACGACCTTGTAACCATCATCTCAGGTTGCAGCATAACAAAATTACGGAACATTTTGCGTCGCTCATCCACTAAACACCGCGTTCGAGACACCGAGGAACCCTTGTCAGCGGCAAGTTTGCAGCGTCGCCTAACGCGAGCCTATCCATGCACACCATGACGTTGTGTGGTCGTGCGCGCACAACCGCGAAGCGACCGAGCGCCCCATCCGGTGCTATGCGCACGACCGCGAGAGACAGGAAGTGTAGCAGCCACTCGTCCCGGCAATGTGACCTTGGCGCCGGGACCATCTACCTAAAGTGCAGCGGCGGACTGGGCCTCAACATAAAGTTCACGTGATCTGCTGGGCGCGAGTGATCAATCTGCAGTGCTGACGATGCCTGTGGAATGTGCAATCAGAATGTCAAAATAGGATTTGCACGTTCAGAATGCTCTACCTATTTCCATGTCAAATGCGCGGAGTTTAATACAGTCCCATTGGTTAGCACCGCAATTGCACTGTCCCCAACGTATGATAACCTGGTAAGTGTGGGTGAGCAAATGTTGAGCCTCCAAATAGCATCAGTAGGCACAAGCGTAGCAGAATGTCTGACACAGGCCTCTTCACTGAACTCCACTGCAAGCCAAATCCACAACTCCAGGTTTTAGATTAACAACATAACTCCTGAAAACACTGCTACTATTCCAAATCGCCCAAGTGTTCCTGAACCCTTCACCTCTAGTCCATTCGGAACAATTGCCCCCAAACTGATTTCCTCCCACAGATTTCGCCGAAACTCAGGAAAAAGGCAATACCATTGGCAGATAGGCCGTAGTTGCATCTAAGAGCACTCAGCAATCAGCAGCTGCCTTTCTGTTGCCACACCCGCAACTACGGTGAGATGCGACGTTGAACTGGTGCGTGAAAAATCCCCTGGTCTCCCAATCACAACCCAAACTCCCGTGAAAGACACTTAGAAAAAAGATGCCCTATCCATAATATATGCCAACGTCCCAGAGTCAACCTCAAATTCACTGAAACGAAAGTAGATGGATGAGCTGAGCCAATGGGACACAATCAAACTGCTCGGTATTCTAATGAAGCCGACAAAGGTGACGAGGATAACCCGCCACCTTAATTCCATGCACTATGGTGAAGGAAGGCTTCTTCGCGTTATGCTAAACTCTGTCGATGAGTTGGAAGCAGTCTGGCTTTTGGCAGCTTGTTTCCAGTACGGACACTGTTTGGTTCGTGTCTTTCCAAATATTCCATGGGGCGTGCGCAAGTGAGCTAAGCAAAGCCTAGTAAAGTCATCTAGACACTACAGCCAAACCGTTTTTGTCCATGACGTCTCCAAGTCTCATGAGCACGATGACGGCGAAGCATGGACTAACCACCAGGAGCAGCGGCACTATATTAAAGAGGCTCTGCTCTTAAATGCCACTGTAGCTGCTTCTCCCTCAAGATTGCCAAGATCCGCAAACTACAAAGAGTGCGGCCGAAGAATACTTATGGTTGTGCTGCCAAATAGGCAGATTGCACTTAGGTTGCCAGAACGATGGTAGTCACTTCGGTACAGACTACCCACCGAGCTCCAGTTCAAAGCGTCCGACTAACAGCGCCATCTCATCAGACAAACGAAGTGGGGACTCCGTTCGAACTTTAAACTGGTAGTAAGTCTGAAAGAAGTGGGGATCTTTCCATGCAATCCCGTAAACACTCTCCGTGCATTGTGCCAAATGAGTTGCCAAAGGGGCTAAGCAAGTTACCACCGAATCAAACTCCAGTCGACTCACCTACAATACTACCAAAAACCAGCTAGCTGCCAACCATACAACGGTCGGCACAGCTTGCTACCCGAACCGAAGTCCTTTGGACCGCTGATGAGAACCGCAACCCTTTCCTGCGTG